AGATGATTGTGGATGTTATGAATGAGAAGAAGCTGGATGTCCTGGCTTTAAGTGAAAGAAAGCTGAAGGGGGTGGGAGAGTTTCAGTGGAGAGGAATAAATGGATTAGGTCAGGGGTTTCAAATAGAGTTAGAGCTAAAGAAGGAGTAGCAATAATGTTGAAGGATAAGCTATGGCAGGAAAAGAGGGACTATAAATGTATTAATTCAAGGATTATGTGGAGTAAAATAAAGATTGGATGTGAAAGTGGGTTATAATAAGCGTGTATGCACCTGGAGAAGAGAAAAGTGTAGAGGAGAGAGAGAGATTTTGGGAAATGTTGAGTGAATGCGTGGGGAGTTTTGAATCAAGTGTGAGAGTAATGGTGGTTGGGGATTTCAATGCTAAAGTGGGTAAAAATGTTATGGAGGGAGTAGTAGGTAAATTTGGGATGCCAGGGGTAAATGTAAATGGGGAGCCTTTAATTGAGCTATGTGTAGAAAGAAATTTGGTAATAAGTAATACATATTTTATGAAAAAGAGGATAAATAAATATACAAGGTATGATGTAGCACGTAATGAAAGTAGTTTATTAGAATATGTATTGGTGGATAGAAGGTTGATGGGTAGGCTCCAGGATGTACATGTTTATAGACGGGCAACTGATATATCGGATCATTATTTAGTTGTAGCTACAGTTAGAGTAAGAGGTAGATGGGAAAAGAGGAAGGTGGCAACAACAAGTAAGAGGGAGGTGAAAGTGTATAAACTAAGGGAGGAGGAAGTTCGGGTGAGATATAAGCGACTATTGGCAGAAAGGTGGGCTAGTGCAAAGATGAGTAGTGGGGGGGTTGAAGAGGGTTGGAATAGTTTTAAAAATGCAGTATTAGAATGTGGGGCAGAAGTTTGTGGTTATAGGAGGGTGGGGGCAGGAGGAAAGAGGAGTGATTGGTGAATGATGAAGTAAAGGGTGTGATAAAAGAGAAAAAGGTAGCTTATGAGAGGTTTTTACAAAGCAGAAGTGTTATAAGAAGAGCAGAGTATATGGAGAGTAAAAGAAAGGTAAAGAGAGTGGTGAGAGAGTGCAAAAGGAGAGCAGATGATAGAGTGGGAGAGGCACTGTCAAGAAATTTTAATGAAAATAAGAAAAAATTTTGGAGTGAGTTAAACAAGTTAAGAAAGCCTAGGGAAAATATGGATTTGTCAGTTAAAAACAGAGTAGGGGAGTTAGTAGATGGGGAGATGGAGGTATTGAGTAGATGGCGAGAATATTTTGAGGAACTTTTAAATGTTAAGGAAGAAACAGAGGCAGTAATTTCATGCACTGGTCAGGGAGGTATACCATCTTTTAGGAGTGAAGAAGAGCAGAATGTAAGTGTGGGGGAGGTACGTGAGGCATTACGTAAAATGAAAGGGGGTAAAGCAGCTGGAACTGATGGGATCATGACAGAAATGTTAAAAGCAGGGGGGGATATAGTGTTGGAGTGGTTGGTACTTTTGTTTAATAAATGTATGAAAGAGGGGAAGGTACCTAGGGATTGGCGGAGAGCATGTATAGTCCCTTTATATAAAGGGAAAGGGGACAAAAGAGACTGTAAAAATTATAGAGGAATAAGCTTACTGAGTATACCAGGAAAAGTGTACGGTAGGGTTATAATTGAAAGAATTAGAGGTAAGACAGAATGTAGGATTGCGGATGAGCAAGGAGGTTTCAGAGTGGGTAGGGGATGTGTAGATCAAGTGTTTACATTGAAGCATATATGTGGACAGTATTTAGATAAAGGTAGGGAAGTTTTTATTGCATTTATGGATTTAGAAAAGGCATATGATAGAGTGGATAGAGGAGCAATGTGGCAGATGTTGCAAGTATATGGAATAGGTGGTAAGTTATTAAATGCTGTAAAGAGTTTTTATGAGGATAGTGAGGCTCAGGTTAGGGTGTGTAGAAGAGAGGGAGACTACTTCCCGGTAAAAGTAGGTCTTAGACAGGGATGTGTAATGTCACCATGGTTGTTTAATATATTTATAGATGGGGTTGTAAAGGAAGTAAATGCTAGGGTGTTCGGGAGAGGGGTGGGATTAAATTTTGGGGAATCAAATTCAAAATGGGAATTGACACAGTTACATTTTGCTGATGATACTGTGCTTATGGGAGATTCTAAAGAAAAATTGCAAAGGTTAGTGGATGAGTTTGGGAATGTGTGTAAAGGTAGAAAGTTGAAAGTGAACATAGAAAAGAGTAAGATGATGAGGGTGTCAAATGATTTAGATAAAGAAAAATTGGATATCAAATTGGGAAGGAGGAGTATGGAAGAAGTGAATGTTTTCAGATACTTGGGAGTTGACGTGTCGGCGGATGGATTTATGAAGGATGAGGTTAATCATAGAATTGATGAGGGAAAAAAGGTGAGTGGTGTGTTGAGGTATATGTGGAGTCAAAAACGTTATCTATGGAGGCAAAGAAGGGAATGTATGAAAGTATAGTAATACCAACACTCTTATATGGGTGTGAAGCTTGGGTGGTAAATGCAGCAGCGAGGAGACGGTTGGAGGCAGTGGAGATGTCCTGTTTAAGGGCAATGTGTGGTGTAAATATTATGCAGAAAATTCGGAGTGTGGAAATTAGGAGAAGGTGTGGAGTTAATAGAGGGCAGAAGAGGGGTTGTTGAGGTGGTTTGGTCATTTAGAGAGAATGGATCAAAGTAGAATGACATGGAAAGCATATAAATCTATAGGGGAAGGAAGGCGGGGTAGGGGTCGTCCTCGAAAGGGTTGGAGAGAGGGGGTAAAGGAGGTTTTGTGGGCAAGGGGCTTGGACTTCCAGCAAGCGTGCGTGAGCGTGTTAGATTGGAGTGAATGGAGACGAATGGTACTTGGGACCTGACGATCTGTTGGAGTGTGAGCAGGGTAATATTTAGTGAAGGGATTCAGGGAAACCGGTTATTTTCATATAGTCGGACTTGAGTCCTGGAAATGGGAAGTACAATGCCTGCACTTTAAAGGAGGGGTTTGGGATATTGGCAGTTTGGAGGGATATGTTGTGTATCTTTATATGTGTATGCTTCTAGACTGTTGTATTCTGAGCACCTCTGCAAAAACAGTGATAATGTGCGAGTGTGGTGAAAGTGTTGAATGATGAAAGTATTTTCTTTTTCGGGATTTTCTTTCTTTTTTGGGTCACCCTGCCTCGGTGGGAGACGGCCGACTTGTTGAAAAAAAAATATATATTATATTATATATATATATATATATATATATATATATATATTATATATATATATATATATATATGTCGTGCCGAATAGGCAGAACTTGCGATCTTGGCTTAAATACCAACGCTCATCTTGCCATTTAGGACAAGTGAAAATTTGTGTATGCAATAATTTCGCCAAAATCATTCTTAACCTGACGAAAAAAAATACATTTCACTGCGTTTGTTTAGTATTAAATTATTGTAAACAAATCTAAAATATATTTAGTTGCATTAGGCTAAAATAAGTTGCACTTGTTATAATAAGGTTAGGTAAGTTTTCTAAGATTCTTTTGGTGCAAAATTATAAATTTTTACATTAACATTAATGAAAAAAATATATCTTTAAACGTATAAGAGAAAATTTTAGAAAGGACTTAATTTTAAATGAGTTCTTGCTAATTGACCAATTTTACATATTCGGCACGACATACATATATATATATATATTATATATATATATATATATATATATATATATATATATATATATATATATATATATATATATTTATATATATATATATATATATATATATATATATATATATAATATATATATATATATATAATATATGTCGTGCCCGTTAGGTATAACTTGCTATTTTGGCTTAAATAGCAACGCTCTTCTTGCCGAATAAGGCAAGCGAAAATTTGTGTACGCAATAATTTCACAAAAATCATTATGAACCTAACGAAAAAATATATTTCATTGTTTGTTTATTGTCAACTTTCTTAAGATATATTTAGCTGGATAAGGCTAAATTAAATTGCGTTTGTTATAATAAGGAGAGGGCAAGTTCTCTAAGGTTCTTTTGGTACAAAATCATTAATTTATACATTAACATAACTGAAAAAATATATGCATCTTTAAACGTATAAGAGAAAATTTTATAAAGGACTTAATTTTAAATGAGGTTTTGCTAATTGACCAGTTTTACCAATTCGGCACGTCATTATTATTATTAGTATTATTATTATTATTAATATATATAAAATATGTATATATATTATATATATAAAATATATATATATATATATATATATATATATATATATATATATATATATATATATATATATATATAAAACAACCACTCTGAAAGAATAGAAAAATTCCAAGCCTGGAATTTCTCTATTCTTTCACAGTGGTTGTTTTGCATTTTCTGAAATCACCTGTTTACTGTGATCTTATTGCACACACACACACACACACACACACATATATATATATATATATATATATATATATATATATATATATATATATATATATATATATATACATATTTATATAAAACACTGTGGCTAGCCGGGGATTGAACCCGAGTCATCTAGCCAGCCACCCGGGAAACTAGCTAATCCTATTGTACTATACAAGACGTTAGGTGTACAGTAAGCACACTAAGCATGCTTTTCCTAACGCCGAGCACATTGGTGGGAGTGAAAAGCTCAGGAACTTGTTTCGTGGATGCACTCGTGAGACTGGTATTCAAACGGAAAGAGAATGAAATTAGTTCTTGAGCTTTTCACTCCCACGAATGTGCTAGGTATTGGAGGAGGCATGTGTAATGCTGGACACTCTAACGTCTTGTAGCATGGTGGCGTAGTGGACTAGGGAGTCGACAGTGGGAGTCTCGCTAGATGATTCGAGTTCAATCCTTGGCCGGTCACAGCATATTATTTGATATCTATATATATATGGGTGTAAATATATATATATATATATATATATAGATATGGCATATACTAATTTTAATTTATTTTCCAAGTGTCAAGTGTAGAAGAGTCTGAACTCGTCAGGCTTCAGGACAACATCACTGAGGCACATGTAAAGGCAGCGCTGACTGCTGACGAGGGCAGCGAGGCCAAACTCATCTCGTGGAGCGTTGAAGACTTCACTAACAAAGGCGATAACTACGCTACCATCGTTACCAGTGTCAGTGTCAAGTTTTCACTGCTGGGAAAAAAGCAATCTTCGTCATACGTGGTCAAGCTCCTACCAAAATGGTCATTTAGTGAAGACGCTGGGAAATTTGGTCTAGCAGTATTTAAGAAGGAGTCAGAATTTTTCAAAGAAATTCTTCCTGTGTTAAACTATGAGCTGACCTCTCTTGGTTTCAGTCCCTTGAGAGTAGCGAAATGGTTTTATACATCTTTAGAAAAAGAGAAAGAGATGATTTTCTTAGAGGATCTTCGTCCACGAGGATTTCAAATGTTCGACCGGAGGAAGGGCCTGAGTGTGGCACACGCCACTCTTGTCCTGCAGGAGCTGGCCAGACTGCACGCAGCCTCGCTCCTGTTAAAAGCCAGGGCTCCCACAGAGGATCTAGCGGACAGGTTCACTCATCTTAAAACTGATTGGATGACTTTCTCAGACTCTGCAAAAGGGATGATAAATGGGATTTTTTCTGCCCCATTAAAGAGCAGTCAGCAGTTATTGCATAACATAAAAGGCTATGAGGTAGCAGAGCAGTGGATAGCCAAGCACAAGGATAACTTGGCTGAGCTTATAGAGATTCAGCTGGCCAGAAATACCAAGTTTGATGTCATTTGCCACGGTGACTGTTGGAACAACAATATGCTCTTCAGGTAGGTAAAAGTGGACTTGGCTATTATGAGCACCTCTTATATACATATACACTGAACATTGCCTTTATATCTCCAGTAATGTTTTATATTTTTAAACCTTGCTTATACAAGTTTTAACAAATATCGTTAATATTATACATTTCTTGCAGGTATAACAAAGAAGGGGATCCCGTTGAGGTTATGCTCTTGGACCTCCAGCTGAATCGTGTTGCCTCTCCGGCCACAGACCTCAGTTACCTTCTATACACGAGTCTCCACGGACGCGACAGGCAGGCAAACTGGCAGGACTTCCTCTCCTCCTACTACGACACCTTTCGAGGCGTGATGGATTATGGGAGAAGAAGCATGCCTTTCACGATGGAGGAACTTCGTCAGGAGTACAAAGAGAAGATGGAATATGGGATCCTTTTCGCTGCAATGTCGGTGCCGATTTTATTAGGCCAGAATAAGGATGCTCCTGATATGATAAACATGAAGGAAGAAAACATTGCCGAGTTATCAGAGGCGTTGCAAGAAAAAACACAGAACATGTTGGAAAACAATCCGCTCTGTCGATCTCGATTCCTCGCCATATTTGACGAACTGATAGAGCAGGCCGCCACCAAGTCTTTAAACTGTCCAGAAGAAGCTGAGCTCGTCAGGCCTCAGAAAAACATCACTGAGATACACGTAAAGGCAGCGCTGATGGCTGACAAGGGCAGCGAGGCCAAGCTCATCTCGTGGAGCATTGAGGACTTCACTAACAAGGGTGATAACTACGCCACCATCGTTACCAGCGTGAGCGTCCTGTTCTCACTACTGGGAAAAGAGCAATCTTTGTCTTACGTGGTCAAGCTCTGCCCACAATGGTCATTTAGTGAAGACTTTACGAAATTTGGTCTAGCAATATTTAAGAAGGAGTCAGAATTTTTCGAGGAGATTCTTCCTGTGCTAAATTATGAACTGACCGCTCTTGGTTTCAGTCCCTTAAGAGTAGCAAAATTTTTTTATTCATCTTTAGAAAAAGAGAAAGAGATGATTTTCTTAGAAGACCTTCGTCCACGAGGATTTCAAATGTTCGACCGGAAGAAGGGCCTGAGTGTTGCGCACGCCACTCTTGTCCTGCAGGAGCTGGCCAGACTGCACGCAGCCTCGCTCCTGTTAAAAGCCAGGTCTTCCACAGAGGATCTAGCGGATAGGTTCACTCATATTAAAATTGATTGGATGAACTTCTCAGACTGTGCAAAATCGATGTTAAATCAGATGTTTTCTGGCCCATTAAAAAGTAGTGAGCAGTTATTGCATAACATAAAAGGCTATGAGGTAGCAGAGCAGTGGATAGCAAAGCACAAGGATAACTGGGCTGATCTTATAGAGATTCAGTTGGCCAGAAATCCCAAGTTTGATGTCATTTGCCACGGTGACTGTTGGAACAACAATATGCTTTTCAGGTAGGTAAAAGTTAACTTGTCTATTATGAGCACCTCTTATATACATATACATTGGATATTGCAGTTATCTTCTTAGTAATGTTTTAAATGTCATTAATAGTATAAATTTCTTGCAGGTATAACAAAGAAGGGGATCCCGTTGAGGTTATGCTCTTGGACCTCCAGCTGAATCGTGTTGCCTCTCCTGCCACGGACCTCAATTACTTTCTATACACGAGTCTGCACGGCCATGACAGGAAGGCAAACTGCCAGTACTTCCTCTCCTCCTACTACGACACTTTTCGAGGGGTGATGGAGGCTGGAGGAAGAAACATGCCTTTCACCCAAGAGGAACTTCTTCAGGAGTACAAAGATAAGATGGAATACGGGATGATTTTCTCTGCAATGTCGGTGCCGGTTTTATTATGTGAGAGTAAAGATGCTCCTGATTTGATAAACATGAAGGAAGAAAACCTTGCCGAGTTATCGGAGACGTTGCAAGAAAAGACCCAGAACTTGTTGGAAAATAATCCGCAGTTTCGATCTCGATTCCTCGTCATATTTGACGAACTGATACAGCAGGCTGCCACCAGGAAATAAACTTTTTTTATATAATTTATTTAGCGCAACGGTCTTTATTTGTTCAAACCGAGCACTTGTACATCCACATAACACATGTAACAGTGTCAGAATTAATATAATTAATTTGTAAGAAGGCTTTTCATGATTACAGAAATAACAGTATATGCAAAAGATCATAAGGCTGAACGTTCATGAATACCGACAATAAACGTAACTTGTTCGAAAGCTTTGAGTTATGTTGACTGCATGAAGACAGTTGTTGGCTTTTTATATGTATCTTCATTGGAAGATTAACCACACACATATTAGATATGTGTTGTGAAAAAAAAGTTCCAGCATAGTTTCAGCACATTTGTGTATGCAATAATTTTGCAAAAATCATTCTGAAACTTACGAAAACAAATGTATTTCGTTGTGTTTATTTTTAAATTATTGTAAACTTATCTAAAATACATTCAGTTAAAATAAAGTTAGGTCAGGTTCTAAGGTTCTTCTCGTACAAAATTATATATATGGCACACGCCTTGACCCACAGACCATCCGCATTGGTGTTGCCCTTCGACTTGCCGCCCCTATTCTCGCCGAACACAGTTGTATTTGTGGCAGTGAAGCAGCAGACCGATTCGGGTACCATGGTCTTGTGTGCCGTAAATCCGAGGGAAAGATTGCAAGACATGAGGAGGTTAATAACATTATCAAGAGGAGCCTCACAACAGCTGGATGCCCAGCAGTAAGGGAGCCACCCCAACTATGCAGATCTGATGGCAGCCAGAAGCGTCCAGATGGTATCACCCTTCAAGCCTGGACAGATGGGAAGCAGGTGGTGTGGGACTATACATGTGCATCTACCTTGGCTGATACCTATCTCCAATACACCAGGGAGGAAGGAGGGGCAGCTGCCAGCTTCAGGGAGTCCCAAAAGTCTAGAAAATATGGAGAACTTGCCCATCATTATATGTTTGTTCCCATAGGCTCAGAGACCCTTGGCTCATGGGGAAAGAGTGCATCTAATTTCCTTAAGGAGCTGGGAAAAAGACTCATCAGGGTAACTAGGGATCCCAGGGCAGCTAGTTTTCTGTTCCAGAGGCTCAGTGCGGCTGTTCAAAGGGGTAATGCCTGCTGTATTTTGGGCAACACGCCCCAGCTCTGAGGAGCTGGATGAGATTTTCGCCCTATAATCAGTGATACACACGTAACAACATGTACCGTATATGCCACTTTTATATTAACAATGTATCTCTTAAATCTTCTGTGCCATATTATGTAATAAAATATATATATATATATATATATATATATATATATATATATATATATATATATATATATATATATATATATATATATAATATATATATATAACGTATAAGAGAAAATTTTAGATAGGACTTAATTTTCAGTGAGTTCTTGCTAATTAAGGAATTTTACCTCTTCGGCCGAATAGGTAAAATTAAATCTTCGGAGTTTTTTCTAGTGTTACAAGTTATTTTTATAATTAAACTAAAACGACTATCAAAATATTGCTTGTCACTCTTGATTCTCCTTCCTAATTCCTTCAGAGAAAGACATTGATCAGGTACTTTCTGTTCTTTATTTTCCTATAATGATGTTTTCTCATGTCAATAGTCACATGTATTATAATGATATCCTGCCATAGTGAATTTATTTACATTTAACAATATCATGTACAAGACAAGAACTATGGCTTTCGACCAATAAATCATTCAAAGGAGTGAAACTAAGACTTGAAGCACTATTTATACTTCTTAAAGCTATTCACACTTAAAATATATGTACATAAATGGTTAGAATAAATAATTAAAAGCTGTTAGATACGCTAACACAGTGGTTCCCAAACTGGGGGTAAATTACCCCCTGGGGGTAATTTAACCATTTTTGGGGGGTAATGGAGGGGTGATAGAAAAAAAGTTATGAATTCTGAAAATCAAGAAAACAATGCGGTACCCGGTATGAGGATTATTGTTAACTTTGTCTTAGTATATAAAGTTATAAAGTAAACCTATTATAAGTAAGTAATAAAGTTAAACCAAATAACAATAAACATCAAAAACTAATATACAGTATTAGAAAAGAAGAAACATATAGCTAAGTGTGTGGAAACCCAAAAGTATTTTGACAAGTATGCTTCAGGACAAAAGTCACTCAGTAGCCCAGATCGACCTGTCCAGTACGCGTCACTCACTTCCTGAGGCTGCCTCCATTTCACACTGTCAGTTTATCTGTGAGCATCAGCCGAGGTAGACATAAGCTGGTATGTATGTGTACTGCCCTGTGCAGTATATAGTTAGTATTTACCCGCTGTTACTGTGAATTTGTAGCTATTATTAATTTTATATATAATGTATGTGTGGTTCTTACGTTTTCAATGGTTTTGCTAGGATTAGCAGAGTATGCGAGGCTGTATACGTTCACGTTTAGCCATATATATCAATAATAACAACATTTTGTGAAAGGGGTAACATGCTTTATGTGGCATGTTAAATTGGGTAACAAGCTGAAAAAGTTTGGGAACCACTGCGCTAACACAAGAACTAATGTTGATGCTATGGAAACCTTCATACGAAATAAGGTTAGTGGTACTATATAATCTTTGACATGACCAGCTAGTGCTATGTGATCGTTGACACTAGATCTGCTACCAGTGATATGGACCCCTGGACACAAATTTATCTCTCCGTATTATGATCAGGAGAAATAAATCCTACTTTATGGGCTCTGGTCCTGTTGACACAATACCAGCTATGACGATATTTTTGTCGCCCAACTCAAACCGAGATTTCATAACTTCAGTTATATACCCCCAATTGTATGACGGAATATGAACAGGAAAACCATTCTGTGTGACGATGTATTACAGAAAATCATGCCGTGAGATGTATTATGACAGGGGAAACTATTCAATGTGAAGGAGATGGATTATGAAAGGAAAATCATCCTATTTGATTTAGTATGAGAGGGAATCCATCATATCTGTTGAGTGGCTTAGGTTAAAACAATATTACATACCAAAAGTAAATGCAATATAATACGGTAATATTATTACAGTAACGTAATATTTCAAAGGAGCATTGAAGTCGCATTAATTGATTTTATTAGGCTATGCTGAGTTAAATAAATGTAGGGTAATAAATGCTGCATGTGTGCCCGACACAACTTTGTGCCTTCAAGGTCACTACCAACAAAAAAATGAGTGATTAAGAACATTCTTAACTGACAGTGAGACAACTGGTCATGCAACTGATAGTAAGTTTATATATAGGTGGAAATACATAAATACAATTACATAAATTATTACACAGTTGCTTATTTTCATTGGCGTCCTTGATGAGCGAGATAAGCACACTATCAAGCACTGAAAGTAGTGCCTCTTGTGATACCGGTCACGAGATCGATCTGTATCCATTTAGTGGTACTAAGATAAGCACATAATAAATCTTCAAATGTTGTCCTTCAATTCTCTATAAGGGTTACAATGTGGGATTTACAGGTTTTGGGTATTGTGTGGTTTACATGTTATAAAATACTAATTACAAAGGGAGCCACTAGGACACCTAGCCTGGCTAGGCATTTCGAGCAGACTTAGATTAATTCTTAACATTAAATCCTTACAGATTATGGTATTAAGGCTAAGTGACTACATCATAATTCGTGAGTTTAGCAATGTGAATGCTTTTATTTTGGCACAATACAGTGTCTATATTGGAGTATCATAGGTATACTTATGACTAGTTAGGATTTATTATTTTAAGATTAAGATTAGTATTTCTGGGTTTATAGTCAGTGGGTGAGTGAGTGTAATTGTGAACCACCAGGTGGTTATCATGTAGTTAGTTGTCGGGGTGGATCAGGGAGATAAGATGTTTTCTAACTGTAGTTTTGAAAGTGGTGAATGTGTCTTCAGTTCTAGAGTTTTCAGGTAGGGTGTTCCAGATTTTAGGTCCTTTGAAATACATTGAATTTTTGTAAAGGTTTAGTCGAACACGGGGAATGCCATAGAGATGTTTGTGTCTGGTGTTATGCCTGTGGTTCCTGTTACAACTATCAAGAAAGCATTTTAGGTCAAGGTTAATGTTGGAATTTAAGGTCCTGTAGATATAGATTGCACAGTAGTAAGTGTGGATGTTCTGAACAGGGAGTAAGTTTAGATCTGTTAAGAGTGGGGATGGGGGGGGGGGTTGCCAGGGATGGGATTTAGTGATTATTCTTACTGCGGCTTTTTGTTGGGTTATTATTGGCTTTAGGCGTGTTGCTGCAGTTGAACCCCAAGCAAAGACAACATAGGCGAGGTATGGATATATAAGTGAATGGTATAGTGTGAGAAGTGCAGTTTGCGGCACGTAGTATCGTATCTTGGAGAGGATCCCCACTGTTTTGTACTTTTTTTGTTATGTGTTGGATATGGGTGCTGAAATTTAGGTTGTCGAGGTATAGGCCAAGGAATTTGCCCTCATCATGTCTGGCAATTAGGATGTTGTCGATCTTAATGTTAAGTTGCGCAACACCTGCTCTGCTACCAAACATAGTAAATTTTGCCAGTGTTAAGCGTAAGTTTATTGGCTGTCATCCAAGTCGATATTTTGAGCAGCTCCTCGTTAACAATGGTGTTGAGGGTGGCAAGATTAGGGTGGGAGATGACATAAGTCGTGTCGTCAGCAAAGAGAATGGGTTTCAGTTCAGATAGAAAAAGTTTGTAAAACAATTCTGAGGGCACACATCTATTAGAATTCTTGACTAGAATATTTGCATATCATACAGTGCATGCGCACCCATTATCATGTAAACTTAGAAGGTATATTGTTTACATGGAAGCTCGAGAAAATTACAAATTCGAGTAAAATACTTGAAACAGATAATGCATTACTTTTTATACTAGTTAATCCATAAAAGTTTTCGTTCTCTGTACATTAGTCTATCATAAAGAAAGCTTTGACTTGCAAGAGCAACTGCATTAATTCAAATTTATTTATATTATTCACCATATGACATGTAAAGATATATGTATGCTAATAACAGTTCATTGGCAAACAATTTATCTTAGATTAAGAGAAGCCTTGAGGCAGGGAATCAAGTATACAAGTTTATTTATGTACAGAAGCACAAAATTACAGTTACCATTCATAGTTTAACATGTGTAAATTACCTATTATAACCCAAAATCAGACAAAATGACTCATTTCCATTGAGTCCTTGACTTGTGCACAATACTTGACACGACACGAGTTTGGTTGGTCATCTTTAATTGTTTTTCTTACACTCTCCTGGCCCACAAAAGATATTTTCAAAAACAAGAACTCGAACTCAAGTCCTAACATGAAGCAAATTGAGCACAGTACCACTGAGGTACGAAACTTACAATAAGGTTTCACAGACAGTACAGATGGTTCGAGTCCCGTCCATTCTTCTAATTATTTAGTGATAGTCGTTTATTACGACTTATCTCGAGTTCCTAGACAATTGGGTCTTGAAGGGGTGTGAGAATGTACTACGAAAGTTTCTGAGGTAAACTTGTCACAGAAAGTGTAGTATGTGAACGCTACCTATTGTAAAACTTGTAGCTCAGTGGTAGTGCTGGACCAGATCATGTGTGGTGTGGTTAACCATACATGCATTGTGTTTGTTGTCTTCTGTTTGCTACATAAAATTTGTAATCTACGTGTTGTTACTGACTTAAAAAGACTTGTATATAAAGTGAAGCATTGATTTATAAAGAGTTCTACACTGCAGTGAAGTATCTCATTCTATTCTAACTTTCAGTATTTGCATATCTTTCAATCTGCAATAGTTATAGTACTTGTATATATGCAGTTTGCATCCGAGTATATTCCTTTGCATATAAACATTATTAACATTCTCAATTATCCTCTTAATATATTACAATACTGGCATTGCTGTGCTACCGATGTCTGAGATTGTTTCAACGTTGCTGCGCTATGTGATACTGATTTCTTACATTCTACATTGCAATTTCTGCTGCTTTCACTGGATGTCTACTCATCTCTTGCCATTCTGTATTTCGTTTTATTAACTAAAAATATTCACGAGTATAAATAATTACACTTCATACTTTCTTGCTGCAGCTAAACGTTATCTCGACCTTTTCTTTGTTGTTCATTCTCTCAGATACCTAATTTAATTTCTTTGCTTCAACTCGTTCAAATTCTTTCACCCGTTTAATTTTGTTTCACAATGCTAGGACATCCAGCCTCGTCTCACATAATATTGTAAT